GATTATGGTGAGTTATTTAAGTTCTTTGTCCAGAGTTTAACAATTATAAAATTAAGTTCAGTTATAAACTGGCGAAAAATATGATGGATATGAATTTTTGCTGATATAAGAAAAAGCTGGGTTGTGGCTATGATATGACCTGTGAATCCTATTGAAGTGGTTCATTTTTCTCACTTCGTTACATTTAAATGTCGTGAAGATCGATACTGAAATTCCGGTTAAGCTTGGAATTGTGTGGCTGCAGTGTATATCGATTAATGAATTGGTCATCATGTTTGATGGGGATCTGATGGATGGAGATTTGTTGAGGAGAATTATTTGGAAATAGGAAAATGAAAATAAAATAAAGGACACAAATATTGAAATTGCACTCATCATTTTATAAAGAAAATGTACAAATGTTGAGTCTCACATTTGCACAAGTTACAAGCTAGGTAAGTTACATGCCAAAATCATACCTGCTGCAACTTACACCCAAGGAATTTTACTCTTGATTGGGTCAATTATGAAGTCACCCAGTAACATGGAAACATTGGGACTACTATGGTAGTGTCTAACATGTATGTTTTTCTTAGGGAAGTTGTTTGTTTTAAAGGCATTAAAATCCTATGGCACACAATTTTTTGTTCTTTATTCCATAATTTATTGATTCTCTTTTTTTTCTTCGGAAGTAAAATGATGTTCATTGTTTTTTTTTTCTATTCAGAAGAGTTGTATTGCAACAGGATGTATTCCGCTAGATGGCCCACATAATGCGTCAGATACTCTTGCCCAAGCATTGCAAGAAAAGGTTTTATCAAGTTACGACCTTTGTTACTACCATGTTTTTACCTTTTTGTTTTTTTAACTCTTATAGAAAAGTCAAATGTTATCTTTCTCTTTGTGCGCGTGTGTTTTTGTCTGTGTCCTTTCATGCATGTGTGTGATTGTGTTTTAAGAATTTATATTCTCCTAGGAACAAACTTAAAGTATGTTCCCACCTACCTAACTGTGGTGGAACAATGTGATCCATACAATTCATCTTGATCTTCATAAATGTTTGTGGAAAGAGATTATGTGGGTCAATGATGTGTAGGTCTTGATGGACCACACTGTCATTCACTAGGTTGACTCACCATGTAGTTTGGTAGGTAGGCGAACTTTAAGTTTGTCTTTGGACACTATCGAATTTTTTATTCACATGTACACATACACACACTCATCGGAAGAAAGATAGACTAGGCTAATTTTGGAAAGATTTGGTGTCAAATTTATTCTGTTCAATTTCAAGTTTTCAGAGTTCTTTTGCTCTGGTATCAACAAGGCAGAAAAAATTAGTAATGAGCTTCTTAGTTAATTAGTGTAAAATATTTGAGATCTAACAAAACTGGTTTTGCAAAAATATTTACTTAGATGAAAATGAAATGTTTGTACTTGAGTTATTAATTCTCTAGACTGGAGATTTAAGCAAAGCATGATGTCCAATCACGATTTTGGCTTGCTTGATACATGGGCAAAAAATTGAATTACTTGATTTTTTGGTTTGTAGGTAGTTTAAATAATGCTTTAATGGATCTGATGATAAAATATATTGCCCTATATCAGTTTGTAAAGGCAGAATTCGGGCCGAATCCTTTCCAATGAACTCATGTTCTCTCTATCTACCTTTACAGTTATATAGATAATAGATACGCGGTTATACATATCAATTGGTTTTTCAACATTAGTCTCTTAAAGATTTCTTATTTTGAAGTGAAATTCTTAAACGATTGAGATGGATATTAGGTCCTCCAATTCTTAACTTATTTTGAAATTAGTCTGTTGAATCATTGAAATTGCTATTAGGATCCCAATTCTCTATGTTGTTTCAAATTAATCCTTATAACTGCTACTTCTATTCTTGATTGAGGGGGACTGATTTCAAAATATTCATAGACCTAATAGTAATTTCAATTATTTTAGGAACTCGGTTCCCAACAACTTAAGAAATGGGGGACCTAATAGCAATTTCAATGATTTGTGGGACTAATAGAAAAACCCCTTATATTTTTATGTGTATATGTACAAGTGTATGTTTGCATATTATACATGTTCACATAAATATATACATGCAAACACATGCTTGTTTTAAAAAGCGGTATGGGCACCTGCCGAGGCGGCCGCTTAAACGTAAACAGTACCTAGGCCGACTATCCAAGTATTGGGAGTGCCTAAGGAATCACAATAAGCAGATTGCACCCCGTCAGAAAGAGTTATATTGCTCTTAAGCATTGTAAAGGTTGAGGAGAATGAGCCGGATTAAAAATGAATTAGGTAAAAACTCTATGTTCAAGTCCATCTCAGATTCTCAGCTAAAAACAGTGAGGATATTGATTTGAATATTCGAAAACATTCCTTCCTCTCTTAATGGCATAAAAGCCTATTTGCCGTTTAGGCGTCCGCCAAGACGCCTGGGCACTAGGCATCAGGTCTGCCACCTAGAAGTGTTTGGTTTGTAAAATATAAACTGTAGATGTATTGCGTGTATACACATATATATAAATAGATAATACTCTCTTTAAAAGCACGAGTTCGAAAAAATCTTTCTATGACTAATATTGTCCTTCACTATTTGAATATTTCATTTATATCTTAATCTATCCTAATCATAATTATATCATATCCTAATCCTACGTGAACTATCTATAGCTTAATAATTTAAAAAATACTATTAATAAAATATATAAAACATCTTTATGGTATTAGTTTGTTAAGATAAAAAAATTATACGTAGCTAACATACTATATATGAAGTATTACAAAAAAACACTAAAGAGTTTTAAAATTGCACAAAATTCCCTAAAAAGTTTAAAAATTATAAAAACCATCCCGACGTCTCAAAACTTAAAGCAACAAACATGAAATCAAGAAATTAACAACAGTTTGCGAAGAATTTAAAATTTGTAGTTAATATCTTAATGTCTCAAAAATTATAGAAACATCATCAAAAGTTCAAATTACAAAGAAGCACCCTGAAATTCTAAAATTTTAAAACTTGCAAACAACATAGATGAATTTGAGGGATTACCATGATGCACATAAATTTTTTTGACATTTCAAAACTTAAAATAGCAAACATGAAATAAAGAAATTAATAGCAACCTACGAAGAATTTAAATTTTTTAATTAACGCACTCAATGTCTCAAAAATTATAGAAACACCCTTAAAAGTTCTAATTATAAAAAACCATCCTAAAATTCTAAAAATTTAAAATTTACAAACAACAAAAGATGAATTCAAGAGGTTACCCTTAGGCACCTAAAAATTTAAAATTTACTGAAATTAACCTCAAAGTTACAAAAATTATAAAAAAAACTCCTTCAAAAATTAAAAATTGTAAAAATTTCTAAAATTTTAAAATTTATAACTAGTATACATCAAATCTGGAAACTATTGGTAGACCGTTAAAATTTAAATTTTTTATAAATTAATCTATAGTTTTAATAATTGTAAAAAGCACCATCAAAATTTCAGAGTTACAAGAAATATCATGAAATTTAAAAATTACCATCGACACATGAAACATAGAAGTTACAACTACCAAACTTAAAAGTAAATTTATTTTAAAAATACTCCTAAAATTTTAAAAATTACAAATCACACCCTCATAGTTTAAAACCATAAAAAGGGGTTGAAATTTTAAAACTCGGCATAGAAAAAAATAATTGTTTGGTATTCTTTTATTAATATATATATATTTATATATATAATTTTTAATTTTGGATTTACTATCCCTTTTCAGCATCTAAAAATAGTCTAAGTTGATACTGGTAAACAAAAATAATAAGAATTGATTAAAAACATGCGGTTAAGGAATAAAAATTTAAAAAATATTATAGCTTAAAAATTATTGTCACTATATAAATTAAAGTAACTACATATAATTTTACTAATAAATTGGAGTAGCAAAAATACATTAGTAACATTAATTGATAGATGTTTAAATCCATAAAAATGATAAAAAACTATAATATAATAGCTTAGCATTAATTGATTATAATTTATAAACATTAATCTCTGATGTTAATAATATTTATAGGGTAAAAGACTATAAAGGAATTACGTATGGAGAAACTGTCAGAATGTTCAGAGATATCATTCAAAAGAATCAAGCTATTTTCATTGCAAATGAGAAAATAATGTTAATAAATCTAAAATTCAAAAAACGTCCATGAATCACTTGAATTGACATTAACATAAGATATATCTATTAAAGAAGCACCGACTGAGTTACATTGAATAATAATTTAATAATTTTATCCTAATCAAAAAAGAATTCTCCATGGAAGACATGGAAGACATAAGAAAAATTAGTAAGTATTCACAAATTTCATACTTTATTCTTCAAATACTAAAGGAATTAAATATTAATATTATAAGCTAAGGCAAATTGGCAATGAAAAATTCAGGTATTTAGTTTAGATTTTTGTAAAAAATAACAGGGATAAAGCAAATGTAATATTATTGACATAACAGAAACTCTTATTAGATGCACATCAGAAGAATTCATTATAGAGAAAAAAGAGGTAGCTCCTAATCATATTTAAGTAATAAATTAGGGTTCATATATATGAAATTAACATTTATTCTTATTGAAATAGAAAAAAAAATCAAAGTCTGTATTTCAAGAAGTTTGTGTTGAACATTAGAAATACATTTAACTTCTTTGTAAAGTTAAACGAGAAGATAAAAGATTAACGAGCCCAGGAAAGATAACAACATAAAAAATACAACTCCAATCTGATGTCACAATCGATGTAGATGATGAAAACACTACTCTAGAATTGCCCGGGAAAAAGATAAAGGTGAAGAATGATTGATCTTAGCTCAATAAAAAAATAAAACAGAAGGAATAAGACAATATTTTCTAAATATTTTATAGAATAGTTTAATTATTTTGAGTGAAATTAGGAATCTTTAGAAAGGAGTTTCATGAACTTTTTTCGGTCCTTTTATATGTTGTGTGGATGCTTTTATCATATAAAAGTATACTAGAGTTAGCATTAATCTTTAATTTATAATTTTTTATGAAGTCTATCAATGATTAGGAACAAACTTCATATTCACTTTTGTATCGTTTTAGCATACTTTTATTGATCATTTTGCCTTATTGGTTTTAAATATTCACATTCCTTGTATAACACTATTTTAATATTTTTCACTTTTACAACACTGTATTTTTTCAATTAAACATTGGTTACGTGTCAGTCAAAACAATATAAAAATATCAACATGAAAATTTAAACTGGGTGTAGCACATTTAAACAAACATCAAAGAAAATAAATAATTACAATATTAAAGTTTAGAGACAAAAGTGAGCACAAACTATTAAAGTAGAACTGAAGAAATTAGTTAGAAAATAAGCCAAAAATATTTAATGATTGTATATAACTACGTGCATTGCACGTATATAAAACCTAGTAGATATATAAATATGTGCGTAGATTGTGTGTGTGTGATCGGCTGCTTTGGAGGTTTGCGGACTATTGATACTTCGACTTCAATTTTATCAATAAACATCCAAATATAGGATTCAAACTGCCGGATGCAGTCTATATCTAAGCTGACTATAAACTAAATTTCAAATACTTTTGATACACCTTACCTGTGCATCAAATTTACATGGAAGAGATGTTTCAGGAAAAATATAAAATAGGTTATCTGTATATGAGGGTAACAAGGGATACAAACATCTGATGTAAGATAATTCTTATACTGATTCCCCAGAAAACCTACAATGAACCATCCAAATAGATGACCTACACCAATCATCTTATTGTATCATGCTGTTCTACCCTTATACTTGCATCTATGTGCATGCACATGTATATGTAAATGGTTTATCTATATATATGCATATACATGTGCAAAAATGCATATACCTATATGCATGCAGATATACACACACAGACACGCATAACCACCTCTCCCACACCAAAAACACACACACACACACACATCTGCATATCACATATACATATGTATATGCACGTGTAGACATTTCTACATACACATTATAGTTTATACATGTGTATACAAATACATGTATACATATTTATAGATAGTGTATACATATGTATATATCTATACATATGTACACACACATATACATGCATGCGCACATGTCTTTGTGTGTATATTCACAGTCATGCATATTATAGTCCATTATTCATGTATTGTTCCTCACCTTCCAGGTTGCTGCGCTATTGCTTTTGTCGCAACAGGAGGAAAGACATCTGTTAGAGAGGGATGTATATCAAGCTCTTGAGAATAAGATGGAAGAACTGCAGAGAAACTTATGTCAAGTAAGTTTCTCTCACAGACTGAAGAACATCACCTACATTTTCAAGTTCTGTGTTTAAGTTGTCTGATTCTTGGCATGCCTTTCTTTGTTTTTTTTTTAAGTTCAGTTAAGTAGTAAGTTAATGAGCTATCTTATTTTGGTTGTTTTTGTTTGTATAATGTGAGGGCCAAGAGGTAGTTGAAGTTTGTTTCTTATTTCCTGTGGAAGATAGGAAGTATCTTATTCATGAATATTCCTTGAATTTGATTTAGTATGCATAGATGTTTTCATAGGAAAAGTCTATCTCATAATTTTCAAAGATTTGGCAGTTAAAAAAGTTCTAAGACCACCATCTTTTAATGTCTTTCACATTCTAGTAACAAAAGCATAGTCAGATACGAAAACATTGTCTTGTAAGATGTGGGGGCTTCAAATTTCTCCTTATAATAAGAAAATTTAATATATTGTGTTCTGGATATTTTCTCTTAGGTATTCAAAAAGTTACTATAATACTATTGTGAATCACCTTTTTCAAGGTCAAACCAAAATCACACAGTTTTTTTTGTTCTTGTTAGATATCCAAATACCTCTGTTATTTCTTTTGAAAATGTGATGAGCATTTTAGACAAATTCAAACAAAAATCACACAGTTTTGAGTTTTTGTTAGATATGCAAATACCTCTGTTATTTCTTTTGAAAATGTGATGAGCATTTTAGATAAATTCTTCTTATTCCCAGATAACTATATGCTAAGGGAAGCTATGTTCCTTGCAAAAAGGAGTTGAGATAATATGTTTATGATTATCACGTGTCTTTGGGTAGTCACATAGATACTGACTTGTGATGTATTGCTTCAAAATCCAAAACCTGTCTCCTAAATTGTTAATCAGGAGAAAAAGAAACCTTGATCTCCTGTATATGATTGTGCATTTGTTGGATCCAGCAAGATGTCTGATAATCCGTTCAAAATTTTAGAGGGTGGTGTAGTTCATTATTCAAATTTTAGGGGGTGGATGCATGAAATTATCTGTTAATCAACTCACTGATATGTCTACTTGTTACCTTCAAAGGTTTATGGGAAGTCCACATAGCACCAATATTTATATTGTACAATAAACTTTCCCAGCTTAAAGATGGTTGCTGGGGTTCTTGAGAGGTTTATCATCCATAAATATCTGACCAATAATAGGTGGGATCTTTTGTATGTAGTCGTAGTCCATGGTTTTCGTAATTCTGTTGAAGACAGTGATAATATCTATTGTTGCATATGTTAGAATGCCCTTAGAATGCCCCAGAAATTGGCAGGGCTCGCAATTGCCCGAAATCCCCAGGGAACAAGGGCTGTTAATGTTTATTTTCTCCTCTGATACCCAAAAATGGGCAAAATCTAATTACTACAACAGAAGTAATCAACTCGGTCCCCCTTAGTCCCCCTTAACGTTGGCGGCTTCTACCATCAGAGCATAAGCTCATGCCTATGTATACTTTTACCTACTTCTTTCATTCCTTTAAAATGTAGCTCGTGTCAGAGAGTTAATTCACACAGTTCAGATCATCTATTTGGTCTTATTTATCTATGGTTTCCTTCCATAACTCAGAAGTTCCCATGATATTCAACTTCCCATTAATAAAAGGGTATACATAGCTTACTTCCTCAAAATCATGTTTTGGGAAATTACTAAGTAATTTATTTGCACCTTCTTGAGGAACAAATGCTCGAGGTTGTTTACTACTTCCATTATTGTTGGTGCACTTCATGCAAAGTGCAGCACCACTTTGTTTCTGGATGAGCGTAGGCATTTCAATGATCTTGAGTATAGTGACTGTACCAGGTGGATACTTTTCATATGAGCATAGCAGTTGCAAAGTTCTTTGGTAAATTATTTCTTTTGTTTTGGTTTTATTTTCCAATATGGTTATTACTTGCGTGATTTTCAAGTGGTATCCATACCCTGTTTCTTTAATTGTAGGCAAAAATACTTAGGAACTTGATTTGAACTTACTGCTTAGCCCTTATTAACTGTAACTCTCATCGCTACATGAATCGAATTCTTCCATCAGTTCTTTTAGGTTTGTCTCCGTCAAGTTAAACCAAGCGGATTGAAAACCTGGCACAATATTTTAAAGGAAAATATTGCACAAAAGCTAAAATCGAACCTCAGCACATCTTCATATAAAAAAGATATGCATCAATTCTTACTCGTTTCATTTTAATTTCATACTGCTGCAACAGAAGAACTAATTTTCAAATGTAAATGGCTAATATCAGATTTGATTGCCGTGGACCCTTAATTTCAGAGGATTTCATTGGCTTAACAAATCCTCTGCATAAAGTGTATCAGTCTCCAAGTAGAATTAATAAAAACAATATTGAGGAAAAGAAGTCGGTCTCCATATCTATGACTTCACTCATACGTGTTATAAACTGGAAAGACGAAATTTCACCCATATCATGGCATGACTTAGACAGCCAATAAATCAGGTCAGACTTGTCTGATGATTGAATTACAGAGCTTTTCAATCATGAAGGTGAAAATTCTATGCCTTGTACAGACAGCAATCGACCTCTGTGCATCATATGGATTTTGATGACCTGTTATTGGAAGCTTTCTAGTTTTCTCATTTTCTCTTGCAAATTACATCTTTGTAGTACAGTTGATAGTGTCAGCTGTAATTTGGTCTTTAAAGCTTGCACTTTGATCTGCATTAACACTTGCTTCCACTGAGTGTCAACTGTCTTATTTTTAGCTCTTTTGATCTGTTGGTGTAGGTGACAAATGAAAAGGTGCAGGCACTTATGGAATTGGCACAATTAAAGCAAGATTATCAACTATTACACGAGTATGACAAAAACCTTTTCTTTAAAATGTTATTGTTTGTTTCGACGCCCTTCATCTATTCGTGAGTGTGAGTAATAAGTTTTCTCAGGTGAATAAACCAATTCTTGGTTCTTCTATAAGAACTACATTTTACTCAAGTCATCCATATTTGATTGGAGAGGATAGCTACTTCTGCCTGCTCCAAATGCATATGTAAAGTGCGAGGTTTTTTTATTTTTGGGGAAAGGGAAAATTTTGTTTTCCTTACTTTTCCCTTGTGTTGAATCTCAACGTTAGAGAGTGATTATTTGAAGATATTTTCTTCTTTCAACTTTTTTGCTTACCTCTTTCTTGACGGTTCAATTGAAAGATTCCTGGAATTTTCTACGCGTGGGATTTTTATTTCTTAGAGTGGACTATATTACTTAATCTGGGGTTTTGAGGATTCCTTTGTAGGATAAATATGGCAATTTCTTCTATTTCTATTACACTCGAGAATTCCCACCATACATAGGAGGAGATTGCTCTTCTTGTTCCCCAATAATTAAAGGCTTCCAGCCCTAATAGGATAACATAAATTTAGATCTCTACATCTTTTCCCTAATATCCTAACAAGCCGTTAATTAAAATTTCCATGTCAAACTATTGCTGGACAGATTCGTACTTCTGGCTTGTTCAGTCTACATCTTCATCCAGTACTCACACCATACAAACTTGGAGTTGTTTCAAAGCTAACAAGACAAGCTTGCAGGTGGTGCTGGTTTCATTGTAGAAATTACTTTATTTCCACAACATAGTAGTGCTTGTTAGAACTTTTGTGCGTTCATTTCTTGATGCTTGTAGATACACCTGCAATCATACGCACGCATGCCTACTTTATACTCAAGTCTAAGGACAAGCTCAAGCACATATTCACAAGGAGCAAAGAGACTAGCAATCCTTGTCTCGATTATTTGTTTTATCAATCCTTTTCTATTTATTTCCATAGGGTTAATATCCCATTTGTAACATTTTGAAGTTATTTATTGTTCCTTTTCTACCATCTACGCAAATTTGATCACCTCTATCAAATTTTCTCCGCTCTTTGTTCTGCATGTTTCTCGCATAACAGCTGATTTCCACCAGTTTATGTTGTGAAACATTGTGATTATTGTTATCCCTAAAGAGAATCAAAGAGGCATCTTGCCTTCTGTTTCTGTTTGTTCATTAAGTGAAACACCGAGATATATCCTTCTCGGTACTTTTCCTCAAGCTGGAACACATATCTTATACTCTGAGCTTGTTACAAATGGGTTTCTAATCCTCAAGTAACCTTTGTGAATAAATTAAGTAGCTGATTATGTGATCTCATGTAAACCATCTTAATACCATTCTCCAATACTTTTTCTCGAACAAAATGATAATCAATCTCAATTTGCTTCAATCTCTCATGGATGAATGTATTAATAGCACTGCATATCACAACTCACTTACCACACTTCAAAATTCTAGGATTTGGGTGACGAAAGCCATGTTCCTATAATAAATACTTCAACCATACCAACTAACATGTAGTGTGTCCTCCACGGGGGAATCAATTGCCTTACACCCCGACATCGCTTCTTTAATAAATCAAGAGCATGTTTTCTTTTGAGATAAAGAAATGCCATTCTGAGACCGGTTAACTTCTAGCTTCACTAAATATCTCAGATATCCCAAATCCTTGAGTCTTACATTTTCTGTACATAAAACATTTCAGCTTTTGATCTCTTGTTATTTTACCAGCTTTAATGACTATAGCTTTAAGATCAGTAATTAAAAAAAAAAAAATCCAATCTACTGTTGCATAGTTATGAAACGTGAGAAATCCATCACAGCTTCATTGTCCAACTTTATCACAGCACTGCTGAATCGACTGAACTTCGTCCCTGAGATTGCTTTAATCCATATGAGGATTTTCATAAACTACGTACAATTAACAGTCCTGAGCAGCATACCCATTAGGTTTTTCTATACCTTGAGGGTACCATGAGGAAAGCATTTTTAATATCCAATTGATGAAGATTCCAAATCCCGCTGCAAACGAGATAATAACTCTTTAACAAATGAAGTTTTAGCTATATGGGAGAATATGTTTAAATAAATAATAATTGTACTTTAAATCATATACATCAAACAACAAACAGAATAAGTTTCCATGTAGCACACTCATGTAATGCAAATATTTCCTCATCCATAGTTGCATTCCATCCAGGATTTTATATTGTTTCTGAAGCAAGCTTTGGGATAGAAATGTAACTCAAATATTTGATGAAGGAATAATGTGAAGAAGAAAGGTTATCATTAAAGACAGTGTGGAACAGGAAGGGATGTACAAGTTTGTTTACTTTTCATTGAGTAATAAGGTGATCTGGATTCGTGTTTAGATTAGGATCTATAGACCAATCAACTAGCGGAGATCTATATCCACTGTCCAAACTGATTTCTGTCTCTAACTGCAAGTTCCAAGTTTAGAAACTGAGAATAAAGAATGGGAACTAGATGCTGTTTAGAAATGCAGGTTCAAAATAATCATAGATTGCAAAATAGGTGAGAAGCATGTATTGTAAAAAGTTCGTTTACGCCCTATGACGACTTTGCACCAGAAATATTAGGTTTTTGCTCAAAGAAGGAAATATCGACATTCATAAAGCATTTATTGAGAATATGACAGTGGAAACTATATCCTGTTTGCGCACAAGTGTAACCGTGAAGAAATGCTAAATTGATCCTTGAATTGGATTATGACAACCATATTTTAATTTTAAATTTAAAGTGATGCTTGAATCTCTTAAAACCTTGTGCTTGGTACCGTGTTAAATAACCCTTTACAAAAGTTAAAGTTAATGGGTCATAGGCTAACACAGTATATCGAACAAACTGACAATTTGATAACTTTTGTTTTTTTGAACCTTGTAGTCAATAGTTATTTGGCATGCAGCTTTTTCTGTCCTATTGTCTCACATAAGCTATGTTTTGTGAGGTTCATCTACCTAGCTTTAAACTGATCATGAATGCCTTTATCAATCTTGCAAGCTTTGTTTTGAAATTACTAGGCATTGCTTATTTGATAAGAGTTTAGATAGGATATAAGCTTATTTATTCCTTCCAATGTTGTCTAAGGTAACACATATCTATCTTAGCTTTTTTGTTAAACACTTGGCCAAGACAAGGTCTAGTGACAACTAAGTAAGTTAATAAGAGAGGTGCAAAGACTCTATCCATACATATATTACTTATTGTTTCAAATCACAGGAGCGGAAATATTAATTTTATCTTAATCCGTTAGAATCATGATTCATCTATCTTTCTGAAAAACTATATTATTCGAATATATCTAGCGTAACTTAAAATTTTCCCTATCTATAATATTAATTCTAAATCTAATATAGATTTGGAAATCAGATTCCTGAAATTTGAGCATGAAATTAAAAGACAAAAAATTCTTAACAAAAATTTAACCAATATTATCACTGTATTTATAACTAATTTTTACATGAAAGAGACATGAGATTGGGGGGAGGAGTGATATATTTTCTACCTATCCCACTCTCCACCAAAAAGCGTGCTGCTCAAAGGAGGGGGATCCTTTCTGAGTTGGAATTGAACTAAAGTCATAAGGCAGAACCGAAAAAGTTGGATAAATTACTTATTAATTTCAAGTTCAATTTCAATTGATTAACATTGAAAACTTGAGCTCCAGTTCCAATTGACTAACTCCTCAAAAATTTATTCTTTCCAATTATCCTAGTTTCAGTTTGTAGTCCCAATTGGGTATATCCCCTAACAATGAAAATTATGCATGCAATATTTGTCAATTCGACATAATACCCTGTAAAATTTGCTAATGCTTGTATCCTAAAACAGCATAGTTGAGGGGCCTTATATGTATAGAGGTAATACCTTCAGATTTTTTTTCTTGCACATATCGGTCATTTTTTCTCTTTTTACTCACTTGTGTATTCCAAATTTACCTAATCATTGTCAGGATAGAAGTTCTTCATTTCATCATTTAGTACTATAGCATGTGTAAGTGTAACTAGCATAAATCATTGAGACTAGTTGTTAGTAGCTGCTCTATGGTACATATTCTTAATTTGTCATTGCATCTCTAAGTATGCGTTTCTTCCTTAATGGTCGCTATGTCCTTATATTCATACATTTTTTCCCTTTAGATCAGCAGAAATTATGTGAAGATTGTTGCTTTGTGCTACCGATCAACTGTCCCACAAAGAAAATGGTCTATGTTGCCCCTTTTCTTTAATTATTTCTACAAGTTGTCCTTGAATATGAGTTTTTTTTATTTATATACTTTTCACCATCCTCTCCCTTAGGCTATAGACAACAACAACAAAGCCTTTATCCTAAAATTTTGAGGTTGGTTGACATGAATCCTATACTCTTCCATTCAGTTCTGTTGAGGGCTATCTGCCCCACTCAGTTGAGCATTATCATATTCTTTTTAATAGTTTTTCACAAAGTTATCTCAGGCCTACCTCTGGTTCTTTCTCCATTAATCATAATCTTGCCACTTCTCCTAATTGTTGCATTTAATGGCCTCCGGTGCACATGATTGTACATCTAAACCATCTCAATGATTCTTTCATTTTATCCTATATAAGAGCAACCTCTAATTTCCTACATATGCAGTCATTTTGTATTCTATCCCATAGTTCATGTCCACTCATTTATCACAACATTCTCATTTCTGCTCCACTCATTTTTGTCCATGTTTTTTTAATTGCCCAACATTTTGATCCATAAAACATGATGGGTCTTATGACTATCCTACAAAAATTTTCCTTCAATTTCAGAGGTATTCTATGATCATAGAGGACTCCATAAGAACTCCTCCACTTTAACTATATTGATTTGATTTGATGAACCCTATCATCCTCAAGCTTACCATCTTGACGAATAAATTGATCCTAAATAATGAAGATGATTACTTAAGGTATAAGTCTAGTTTATATGCATAACGATGTGAGCAATTTTGCCATCATTTCTCTTAAGTGATTGCTGGTTACTTTTTAAATTTTATCCTGGATCTGAATATTTGATTTAAGAACTATAAAAAGCCTATTTGTCCATTTATATTTTCACCCCTTGATTGGTCTTCTATTTGGTCCTGGTACATTTACCTATTTTTATCATTTATATCTCTAGTTTGCTTCTATGTATTCCATGACATGATTACATTTCTAGAGCTTTCAGAATCCACTTAAGAGGTGAAATTATCTTTGAAAGCTTATTAACAATTCTTGTATACCGTTTTCATCTTCTTTTAACTTCTTTATCCATCTATGATCAATTTCATTCTATATCTCTAGTTCTCCTTTTTCAGGATTTATCTATGGTAGATCTCGTTCTCATATTTCTCAGCAAGATGTAAATATTACCATAAGATGCATAGTTTATTGTATTTGTTCCTCATAGATACAGTGTTTAATCCTTAATAGCATATCTTCATAGCTTCATCCATTTTCGACATTTGCTTCATCTTTTGAGGCAGGCCTCGTTTTTGTTATTGCTTTTTGTAATTTTCTTTCACAACCCCATTTTTGAGGCAGGCCTCGTTTCCTCTTGATTCTCCTTGAGCTTCATTTTTGCATTCAGTTCTTTGCCTCTAAATTACTGTCTTCTTCCACAACAAGGTTATCAGGCACAAATTATTGTTGCTTTTGTTTTCTTTTTGATTGTAGTCTGTATCTCCATGACTCTTATTCACATTTGAACTACAAACGAGGATTATTGAAATGCATCCATCAGATTGGGTGACATGGGTGTAGATTAGGCTTCTCTGTGCTTTAAATTGGTCTTCTAGTCCATAGCTTACTTAACTTATCAGATCATTCAGGTTTGTTATTTTGATCTTCTACTAGTTTTGTAAATTAGTACATTTTTTAGTTTTTTTTTTCTTATTGCCATATTTTCCTGCAGGAGAAGCAGGGGCCAGGTTTCTAAACATAAAAAGTTTATGGGTGATGCTTCTGAAAAGGGCATCATTGTTCATGAACAAGAAGGGAAGTTAAAGAATATTTTGAAGCGATCATACATGAAATGGTGGATTGGCAAAGGTCTCAACGAACAAGAAATTGATGTTCATGGAAGCACCGACGAAAGTAGTACTACTAGTAAAAGAAACATCTACCCTGCAGATTTAGCAAGGTTTGCAATGTTTCTTTATTGGAACTTTTATATGGTAATAGTTATTTTTGAGTGTTTGGTATTATTTCTTGTTTTCCCACATCACAGTTGTGTAATATGACTTGTTAATTGTTTGAGTAATTTGATTGTAAGAGACCTGACCTTGCTTTGGGCTGCTCTGCTGCTGTCCTTACTGTTGAAGAAGCTAGAATATTAGTTCAGATAGGGCCCAATGAACTACATTCTCCTAAGGATTCCAAGCAAATAAACTGAAGGGGAAATTTTCGAAATTCAGGTGTGGCACATGCCCTACCTGGGCACTGTAGCTCTTCCCTTGCTTATAGTTGTGATATAGGACTTAAAATTTTAACAATTGATTATGTAGACTTTGGAGAACAACCATCAGTGTTTTTTTATGTTTAGCTTTCAAACAGTTACATACCTGTATATTGGAAATTGTACTTTAAAAAAAAGAAAAAAAAATGAGAATGAGCTTCACAGGCTAGATGTTATTCGCAAGTGATGAATAAAAATGAGAATTTGTAAGTGTGAATAAAGGCTTCTAGTGCTCCATTCAGTTTTAAATGACACCTTCGAAAGTTAAAAGGTATTTCAAGGAATGAATTTGGCCTAAGTCCTCTTGAAGAGGAAGACATAAAGCATCTCATGCACCAGGATGTATGTTCTAAGTCTGCTGTTCTTTGTAATTCAAACAATTAAGCGTAGAACTCTGATGGTTGGCTAGTTCTCTCTGTAGAAGGTAGTGTATGACCTGTACAACAGTGGTACTGGTGTGAGGCTGAACAATGAGTTCATTTAAGGGTATACAAGGAAAGTCGTCGACATTGAGCAAGTTATTGATAGCTAGACTAGCCGAGCGCATTTAAGATAATTAGAAACCAACTAATTGGGAAGTTATTTACTGAAACAAGCTGACCTAGCTTAATAGGGGAACCGAATATTGGTAAGTTATTCATAGCTGCTTAGTTCAATTAAAGAATATGCAAGGAAATTCATGGACATTGAGAGGCAGTGTGTTGCAAAGTGTAGAGAGAGAGAGGGAACCTATCACTGATGAGGATATAAAAGTGACTCTGAATACCGCCTTGCCCCATATTGGAATAGAAAGCTTGATGCTTATAATTATTCTCTGCAATTTCTTTATATATTATCTTTTCCTCGAATATGTTCGATGGCTGAACGTAGTTTCGATTACGAGAAAGAACCCAAAACTTATCCCGTCCATTTACACCTTCCTTGAACTTTGGAATTTATTATTGCTCTGTAGTTTTACACATTCCAGGAATCAAAGTCTTGTCTATGAATAAAGAAACACATCAGCTCAGTTATTCCGAGTTAAATGCTCACAGATCTGTGAAGACATTTGAGAATTTTTTTTATACAATTATCCATCAAGTTTACCATGGTGCAGTAAGTCTATTTTCATTTTGTTCTACTTCTATCTATAAAGATACATGTTCATGCCATGTTCCCTTTTCTTTCTGGTCCTGTTCCTTGCTATTCTTTAACATGTCATAATAGCATTTCTTTATTTGTTTTCTAAATTGTTACTTCATGTTTCACATTTCAATGTTATTTTTCCTTTGAGGATTGCTGATATCTACCTAATTACATTTAGTTACTGATGAGCACCTCCAATTTGTGGGTACATTACATTTTGCATAACCTATTCATTGCAGGTTGAAAGTTGAAAATGCAGCTCTTCAAGAAAGCATGGCAAATCTGGAAGAACTTACTTCTTCAATTCACAGGCTTCATGCAACACTTTTAAAGGTCAGGTTTCTTTCTTGTTTTAAAACTATTACTCTGCGCATATGTGTATTCTGTTCCATAAAAGAATACGTCAGCATAACTTACAAATCCTTGCTCTTTCTTGGAGCATTTTTGTAATACTGTTTCCTGGTGTAAAGATTTGAATCTTTACAAAGCTAGATCAAGGAAATTTTAAGCTTTAAGTAGCTTCTACTCTGCAATCAAAATTTTCAATGTGACTTGAGAAAATGTCAAATTCGAATAACTATTGTGAAAGAGAGGGGAGAACTTAACAGATATTGTGTGAGGTAGGGAAAATGTCAAACTTAAAGTGTTAGGGCTTAAGGAGAGATTGTTAGGTTGCTGTACTGCCCTCGTATATTATTTTACTAATTATGCTTGTTTCATACTCTATTTCAAGTCACGCTATTGGACTTGATTTTATTCTATATCCAGAGATTAAACTGTAGTGTGAGGATTATTACGAGTAATAAGGCAGGGATTCAGTGCAATCACTTGGGTTGGGGGAGGAGGGGGGGGGGGAATGTGAAGGACTAGTTTATGTGCTCCATTGCTTTAGGCAGCTTGAGTTCAGCGCTTGCCAATTCTACTTTGGGGTTGGGTTCGGTTGGGGTGGGGGGGCGTCTCTGTGGGGACGTGAAGAACAGTTTGTGCATTCATTGCTTCTCAATCATGATCCCTGGACTACCATCCACCTCAACACCCCACCCACAACTGTATAATTCATAAAATTTAAACAATTCTCGTTCTGATGCTTTAGTGTTGACATTGCTGCCCTGTTTTTGACCCTCAATCACTCTTGTACTCCTTTAAGTTTCACGGAGGGCTTTCTCCTCTGAATTTTGAATATAATTATGAGTTGTTAATGCTAACAAATTGCCAATTTTCAATTTTCCAGACAGGATTACAACTGATGTAGCTTATATTGTAGGCACGGGAAGATGCTATAGCAGCTGGTCCCATGAAGAGTGTAACGGAAGCATTGAAGAGCATTATTGCGCAGGCAAACAAGGTGAAGACTGTTCTTGGTAGCTCACTTCCAGTTAGTTGGTCCACCGATGCAGCAGTTGATGCCGCAACTTATGAAAACCTTTACGAACCAACTGAAGACAAGGTTGATCCTGTTTCTTCAGCTGGACTGGAGATGGTGGCGCTCCTCATATTAGCTTCCCAGCTACTCCAGGAAAATTTAGCGAAGAGCACTACAAATTGAGAATATCTAGGCTGGTGTTTATATTGCAAAATAGGAGCCATCAATTACGAAATGTTATATTCATTATGTGTTTTTTCTCCTTCCTCTTCAACTAATTTTTTCTTCTCATGTTATATTCTATGTATGTAGAGGGTTTTATATATGACTTAGGTTGCTGAATCCAAAAGTTTGGGTTGAAGGCTTCTTGTGTTCTTGTGTTGTTATATATGTATGTATATGAATGGTACCGATAATATGGTGTTGGCCCCATATAGTTAAAGAGTATGAGTAAATTGCATCTGGTGTTTGTCAATGATATTGATGGCCATTTGACTTGTAAAGTCAAAGCGATGGCTCATCACCCATTATCTGTAGATTGAGAATACTGTTGGGGGTGTTAGTTCATGATCGTTGTATATCTTGGAAAATCACACGTTGGTCATCACCTGTTGTCTTCGTTTGTGTTTTCTTTCCTCCATACATTTTTTATTTCCCCTTCTTTTCGTTGCTCTTTTTGCGTGCATGTAGAAGATTCATGTAGTTGCACGAAGAAATTTTCTAAATAAACTCATTCATACTTTTTAAAAAAAAATTGATTCACTCCTGTTTTTTTTTACAAATATCGACCCACTTTGTGGTCACGTCAGCAGTGTGGCCACAAAATGGGTTGGTTTTTTGTTAAACGCGTTGCTAAATAATCGGGGTTGGCAACCCTGATAATTTTGGACGTCCTGGGTAATTTACAAGCTAAATTAGTCGGAGTTTGAAATCACGACTAATTTAGCACACTTTCTAATTGGTTGGGATTGGGAACCCCGACGAATTCGAAAGCCTTAGTTCTAAATAGTTGGGGTTCCTAACCCCGATCATTTAGCAGAGACTTTTGCTAAGTTTTAAAAGAGTCGATAATTGGCTAAGGCAAAATAGTTAGTGTTGGGAACCCCGACCATTTCGTGCACACTGTGCATAAAATAGTCGGGTTCCCAACCCCGCATAAAATAGTCGGGTTCCCAACCCCGATTATTTTGCAGAGATCTTTCAGTACATATTCACTTGGAAAATCATACTCTTGTTAATACATATCAATCCACCAACTCTTGGTACACATTTACCAATCCACAATGCAATCACAAACACAAATAACACACATACAAATCTATAATCGCAAACATTCATCTCACTTGCTAAAAATCCATAATCAATCGGATATGTATCATGCAATTCACTTACTAATAATCCATACTCAATCAGATACGTAACATTCAGTTTCAAACGTAAACATCATATCAAGTATATCGAAACTTAACAAATATTTAAAACTCACTTTCCTCTCCCTCTCCCTCTCCCTCTTCTTCCTCTCCCCCTTCCCCGTTCATCTTTGACGTGAGCTTGGATGAGATCCTCGTCCGGTTGTGTGTGAAGTTGGGAGCGCATGACATCCTTATCGACTCGAACCTGCTGTGAACATCCAGCTTGAGCTTGCTGTGAGCTGCCATCTTCATCATGTGCACGACTTGAGCTTGCTCCTTGTGTCCTCGGAACCATCAAGGCTCGTACTCTATGAAGCGCTCCTCACGTCCATCACGTCTCACATTATGCGTCCTCTTCAGAGTGGACTGAATCTTTTTTATGATGCGAAGGAACATGTTCCTCGCCCCTGGCTCGGTATGTAAAACCCTATAAATTTGGAAAATAATTTTAAATAATAATAAATAAATTTTATTATGATTAATGATCATTCGTGGATGAATGGATCAGTTTGGAATCGATTTGAGATCGATTCGCAGTTTCAGCCTCGGTATCGCGAGTCTACTGAAATCTGTTACTATTTTATTTTTAATAATTTTTCTGTTATCAAATGGGCACGAGATTTACGCCATTGATCTTAGAACATCAATATTGTGTTGTGGGTAAAGTTTCGTTGAGTTCTGACGACGGAGTCTGAAACCCAATTTTTAAATAATAAAATACTATTCATATATCACTATTTTATTTTTAGTAATTTTTCTGTTTATCAAACAGACGCAATGTTTGTGCCATTGATCTTAGAATCTTGAGACGATGCCGTGGTTAAAGTTTCGTTGCGTTCTGACAACAAAAACTGAAATACTATTTTAAGACAGTATCGAGTCTATTAACATCTGTAATATTTGTATTTTTAGTAATTTTTTTATTGAACGGATAGACTTTTGGTTTGTGCCATTAGTCTTAGAATGTTGAGACGGTGCTGCAGGTAAATTTTCGTTGCTTTCTAAAAACAAAGTCTGAAAGCTTATTTTAAATAATATAAAATATTATTATATATATATATATATATATATATATATATATATATATATATTTATATATATATATATATATATATATATATATATATATATATATATTATAGTATATAATATATAATTCCCACTAACCCTATTCCACCAACCACTCATCACCAACCCTCCTCTCATCCCTATATAAAAGGAGCCCTCCCCTTACTCATTTCTCACAAGTAACGGAGAAAGAAGAGAGAGGAAGAGGGGGAGAGAGAGGAAGAGAGGGGGAAACAGAGAGGAAAAAAAGAGAGAAAAAGAGGGAGAGAATTTTAGCTTTTCGGAGATCACGAACAAGTAGAGATCCAATTTCAGAGATCAATAAATGTAAGTTCATCTCTTTTCAAACCCATCCCCAGTTAGTTTTGATCTTGATATAAAAAAAATTGATGAATAGAATTTTAGATCAAATTCTAAAAATAAAGAAAAGACATGATATTGATAAAAATTGATGAATAGAATTTTATATCAAATCCCAAAAATGAAGAAAACACATGATATTGATGAAAATTGATGAATAGAATATTAGATCAAATCCCTAAAGACATGATCTTGCTAGCTAAAACTATACATATCTGTCCACGCCGGATTACTGTTACTGTTCATACGTACGGATACTACTATTATTACTATTTATACATACAGTACCATTCATAAGTATTGTTACTATTCGTACGTACGACACTATTCATAAAGATTATTACTATTCATAAATACTATTACTATTCACACGTACAGATACTATTAACATTACTATTCATACGTACGTGTACTATTCATAAGTACTATTACTATTCATACATACAAGACTATTCATAAGTACAATTATTATTCACACGTACATGTACTATTCATAAGTACTATTACTATTTATAAGTACTATTACTATTCATACATACGGTATTGTTCACGAGTACGATACTTGTGTTCTTTTGTTTGAGGTGTTCTCTTGCACGTTAAATCATTAACACGGGGTTCAAGCTGTATGACGATACATACGCAACCAAGGGTGTACACAAATAGAGTTGTGACACATACACAGACATTCCGAAGAGGATTATCACAAGTATTGTTTTGATTATATATGGGTAATAATTAATTAAAACCGCATAGATATATATGTATGGATATCGTTGATGAGCACCGCTCAGTACTACTTGGGATAGTACGTCGATATACCATTAGTACATGCCATTGAGTCAGGGGTTAGGATGCTTTATCTAGCAGTCCGTCCCGCCGTCCCGCACTAGGGTGCGATAAGGCTTGTGTGCCGTATTTCTAGGATACCTATTTGGTAGTCCGTCCCGTACTCGTGTTACGTACAGAGATGCGATGAGACTAATGAGCCGAGTACACAGTTAGGATATCAACTTGGTAGTCCGTCCTGCATGATAATGTGATGAATCATAACTTGCAAGGATTTGTATTGTGACGATTACTCGATAGCCTGAGTCTTTAGTGGATGCCATTTATGAACATGATTCATCGCTGAGTTATATATGACCGATGTACTTTGCTCTTGAAAGTACGCGGGATTATATGCTGATATTTTTTTTTATCTTCCAAGTGATAGTGGAAGATATTATAAATATGATATTATAATGTCTTTACTTTCATGTACTGTTTTCTTTATTTCTTAGTTGGAATCAATGATTAGCAATTCACAATTTGAGACATATGATATATACATGATGGTTTCCTTGTTTGGATTATTTTGCTCGACGTATCAGTTTTATATTGAGTTTCTAATTATTAATTCTATTTAGATTGTTTATTCTTAGTTCGGTATTAATATTTAGTTATCTACAATTTGAGACATATGTATATACATGACGGTTTCCTTGTTTGGATTATTTTGCTTGACGTACTACATCTCGTGTTGTAGGTTTCTAAATATTAATTCCATTTAAATAATTTAGGTAGACTTTTCTTAATAGATAGAGCCTCCATCACATCTAGTAGTCCTTCCCCTAGGGGCGAATGAAGATGATCTTGCTATTGTACTCTGACGCTCTTGTTGTTTCTCTTTTTATTTTTCAATTCCTTTCAGGCAGCAGCTCAGATTATCGAAGAGACGCAAGATGACGAACTTCCTGCATAGTCACCGTCACATGTTTTTAGTAGATGAGACTCCACCATAGTTGATATTTTCTTTCAGACATTTAGAGTTTTGACCGTCACATGTTTTTAGTAGATGAGACTCCACCATAGTTGATATTTTCTTTCAGACATTTAGAGTTTTGTATTTCATCTTGTAAAGACTCCACCATAGTTGATATTTTCTTTCAGACATTTAGAGTTTTGTATTTCATCTTGTAAAGACTGTGTGCTTTAGTTTATTTTCAATTGACTCATATTGAGATACTTCACATTTATTTCAGACTTTAATTGTATTCAGTTTATTCAGTTGAAATATGATTATATTTATTAGATATCTCTTTCTATATCATGTCTAATGCATTTATTTTCCTTATTTTGTCTGTTTTGTACCTACACTTGTTGTTGATTCTACTAGAGAGATATTACTATGATGGTGAAACGTGTTGTTGCACAGTATGGGTGCAAGAAAGGTTTGACATCTCTGGGTTCACCTTGGACTACAGCCATGTGTGAAAATAGAGGTGTCACAGTTGGTATCAGAACTCTAGTTCCAGCATCTTTAGGATCATCTTGTGTCGAGTCGTGGAGTTAGAATAGAGTTTCTTAGGATTTATGTATAGAGTCCGCTAGGAATTCCTAGAATGAGTGAGGACGTATTATGTATATTTTGAAAATTTTGAATTTTTTATGACATCTATTTTACTTTGACTATAAAGTATTTTCATGAATGATATGTGATACGTTATGTTTGCGATCTCACTTACTGTGTCTAATAAGCTCTTCTCCTGATATCATAAATGTCGGGATGAGGATGTGTCGAGATAGAACTCGTACCCGAAGAGCTGGGCACGTAGAGCCCGAGCCATAGCAGGCTCCACAG